GTCAAAAGTACCAGGAGGTCTCAGGTTCAAATCGAATGAAAAATAAAAATCCGCCCACAGAGGTTCAAATGTGGTGACTCTGGGCTATCTACAAAGCAGGTGGTCGTCCTGGGATTAGCCGGCTCACATAGCGGATTGGATATCCAGGTTAATAAAAAAAAAGATCGTAAAAGTAAACTCCAAATCCTTATCTCGATGTTAACCCTATCATTTAACATTAATCCTTAAACCATCCATACTAATCGCTCATAATTAACTCTAATAAATCTTCAATCAATTCTAACTCTAGATGATCTAACCCTAAACCTAACTTTACGTCACCATGGATTAACTTTAATTAATATAAATAAAACGTATTTGAATCGAGAATTTTCATATTAAAGACTCACCTACCACTTGAGAAAACGATCTACTACCAACTTGTTTTTTGCATTCAAATGATTTCTTATCACTTCTTGAATAAATGATTTTGTTTTGCATCGAAATTGCATGAAAAAAATACAATATACTTTGTTTTGATTTCATTTTGTGTACCATACATAAAGATATATATGATATCCACAAGGATGGTGCCTGATTGGTTTGATCTTGGCTCCAAAGGTCAAAAGTACCAGGACATCTCAGGTTCAAATCCAATGAAGAATAAAAATCTCCTTGTGGCCATGGAGGTTCAAATGTGGTGACTTCGGGATATCTACAAAGTAGGTGGTCGTCCTGGGATTAGTCGGCTCACATAGCGGGTTGAATATTCAGGTTAATAAAAAAAAGAACAAATTATCCAAATGAAAACAACAATAATCATTTCAATCACATGAACAAAATCAAACCCCTAATTTGTTTTTATCAAATATCAAAACTTATCTTCATACAAAAAATTCAAAAACCTCTACAATCACACGTGACGTCGAACACCATGAAATACAAAATCCTCACGAAGTAGCCCATTTACACTCTCACCATAGCCACCGCCACTGCCACTGCCACAATTAAGGCATCCCTAATCAAAGTTTTCCAATTGGTTGTTAGATCAACATAGAGAATGCTCAATTGGGTGGCACCATCGTTGGACAAGGTGGTTGAGGTATCGGCGAGGTGATGAGGGTATTCGTGCAATGTAGCGATATACATCTTCATTTTAATATTTCGTTTTATTTTTTGTCTATGTTGATATAATACGATTTATGTGGTTCTGAGAAAAATATTTTTTTTACTTTTAAATAAAAATAAATATGAAGATATCATAAAAATTTGAAAAAATATATGAATATTAATATCAAATTAACTATTTAAAAATTATCTTTTTTTGTACATCTCTTTAATTCAATTTCTTATTGTAATTTAATTTTGGTCTAATAGCGAAGAAATTTATTTTTGGCTTCTGTTAGAACTCAATGATTATCCTAATTATATTTTAGATAATTTTTACTTAAAATAAGATTTTTATCTTGTATATGATTATGTATATATGTAGTCAATTTTACGAATTCAAAACTGGAGCTTTAGTAAGTTGTACTTACGCATAATTTACTTGTAATCTTAAATTTTAAGTAATATGCATCAATAAACAGTACTTCATGAATAAAGAATAGTTTTAAGAGTTTTTATTAAATGATTTATCTATACTATATTATAAAGCATTTGGCTAAAACTCTTAAAACTCTTAAAAACTCTTAAACTCGTTCATCCCTAAACGATTTCATTCCATATCTGAATTCGTGTAACTAACTGCAGATAAACACAATCAAATACAGGATAAACATCTCATTTTAAATATAAAAAATCTAAAATACAATTAGTATAATCATTAAATTCTAACAGAATACTTAATTATTATTTTTATAAAATTTAGAATATTAAACCAAAAATAAATTGTTTTATTATTAAACTTAAATTAAATTATATATAAAAAA